ACGGACAGGTGAGTGGGCAGACAGGGAAAGGGTTGGACACGCAGGGGAGTGGGTGAGGGGGTGCACAGGTGAGGAGACAGGTGCGTGGGGTCCAGGTGAGGGGAGGGACTGGTCAGTGGGGCAGAGGTGGGGTAACAGGCAGGGGATGGACAAGCGAGAGGCAGGTAGGGAGCGCCAGGTGTGTCCCCATTGTCATGTCCCCCTCACCTGGATGCCAGGATTGCCCGGGGCTACCAGGGCTCCCCCGACCTGCGGCTGACATGGCTGCAGAACATGGCAGGGAAGCACGCAGAGCTGGGCAACCACGCCGAGGCCGCCCAGTGCATGGTGCATGCGGCTGCGCTGGTGGCCGAGTATCTCGCCCTCCTTGAGGACAGCCGCCACTTGCCCGTGGGCTGCGTGTCCTTCCAGGTGAGTGACCGGGGAAGGTTGGCAGGCAGGAGGTAGCACATGGGGGACAGGGATCAGGCTCTGACGCCACCTTCCACCACCCAGAATATCTCGTCCAATGTTCTGGAGGAGTCTGCCATCTCCGATGACATCCTGTCACCCGATGAGGAGGGCTTCTGTTCCGGGAAGCACTTCACGGAGCTGGGGCTGGTGGGGCTGCTGGAACAGGCGGCCGCCTACTTCACCATGGTGAGGCCTGGGGGACCAGCATCAGGACGTGGGACTCGGGTCGGGGAGGCACCATTGGATTCTGGGCCAGGGGGTTAGAAAGAAGGAGAATTGGGACCCTCAGAGGTCCTATCACCTGCCTGTCTCCCCATAAAACCCTTGACACAGGCCTGGATATAGTAACCCCTCCATCTGATTTAAAAAATTTTTTTGTTATAGAAAACTTCAGGGCTGGCCAGGTAGCTCCGTGGGTTAGAGCACAGTATTGTAACACCAAGGTCAAGGGTTCGGATCCCTGTACTGGCCAGCCACTGAAAGAAACAAAAAAACAAAAAACTTCAAGTATACAGAAAAGAAGAAAGAAAGTTGTATCATGTTCCCCATACCCACCCATCAAATACCTTTTTTTTTTTTTTTTTTTTTTTTTTTTTTTTTTTTTTTTTTTTTTTTTTTTTTTTTTTTTTTTTTTTTGGCACTAGCCAGTACGGGGATCCAAAAGGATCCGAACCCTTGACCTTGGTGTTATCAGCACCACATTCTCCCAAGTGAGCCACAGGCCAGCCCTCGTCCATCAAATTCTGCTTGTTGTACCAGCCTGTTTCATCTCTTCTTTGTCCCTAATGTTTCTGCTTTTTCTTTTTTCTGGAGTCTTTTATTTTTATTTTTTGACATATAAAATGATAGAGATCATAACTGTCACATTGATGAAAGCGAACATGACCATGCGGCTGGAGTTTTTTAAACCCTCCCCGCTCAGCGAGGTTCAGCAGTTTTTGGCATCGAACAAACCTGGGGCTTGGAAATGCAAGAGTCCCAGCTCTCCCCCAAGCCCTGCACTTTAGCAAGATCTCGGTAATTCCTGTGCATTTTTCAGATGGAGAAGTTTCAGCTTAAAACAAATCCCAGCTTCCTCCCATCGCCCCCACAGATACCTCCCTCTGCAACCCTCACTGATAAACACCCTCTTACAAAACTCTTCTCCCGCATGAGCAAGTTAACAGTAATCCTTTTTTTCTTTGTTTTTTTTTAAAGATGACCGGTAAGGGGATCTTAACCCTTGACTTGGTGTTGT